CTTGACAATGTTTAATTTCGTGTGATATTACTGTACACGCACACATGGTGACGTGCGTGTCTGTTAAAATTTGAAAATTCTCTATATTACTATTCAGATAGTTTATAGAACGTTTCGGGTCATTTTCAGCATTTCAAAACTTTCCATAATTTACCCGCCGTACGTTCATTTCCACAAACACAGCACATATTAAAGCTGGAAATCACGTTTTGTTACATACTTTGTGTTCCTGACACATTATTCATATCAGGAGTCACTCTTTGTGCTATTACCGTGCTCACGGGCGTCAAGACGTACATGTACACATGCGGAAATCTTTTAAAATGCTCAAAATTATTCTTTTTTAAAAAAACTAATTACAGCATATTTTAGCATATCATGACACTTTTCAATCAGCACCACGTGATCTTAATGAGGGTCAAATTGCGGCGGATCACCTAACTCGTCCTCAGTGACGAGTTCAAATCTAGTTTCTTATTCTTCTTTCTTTCTCCCATTTTCTGTTCGCACGATATCTCAAAAAAATGCCACGAGTTACGCACAATCGCTATCAACGAACATTTGGCTTGGTCTGGAATAGTCATGGTAAGCTTTTCAACGCGCTCAGTCATGCGTGACGTCATCTACGCGCAATTATGCGTTTTTACATTATCGATAATATCAGCCTAACCAATTGCCATTTCGAAATCGTATTAAGTGAGCATTAACTTTTGGTTAATGTTGAATGTACTGTACCCTAATTTAGACGCGTGCGCTTTACTACGCGCGCGTATTCGTGCGTCAAAATTTCAAAATGATCAATATCACTTTTTGACTAAATTAGAGCACGTCTTAGGCCATTTTGAGCATTTCAAATTTTTTCTGAAATTTTCCACTACGCGCGCACATTTTTATGTGCGCAGCACGTACGGAAGCTGGAAATTACGTTATTTTACATATTTTGGGTTCCTGACATTGTTTTCACAAATTTCCATTCTTTTTGGTCATCTTTTGGTCAATAGCAATACCGTATGTGCGCATCAAACATAGGTATCTTTGTGCGTATTTGTGCCGCTATACAGTGAAATTATGCTAAAATCAGACCTATATTTAATCAGTTATAGCTCCTTAGCTTGAAAGGTAACCCCCAATTTTTATTACATATTCTGAAAGCACATGAGTTGTAAATATGATTTTAGAGATCATAATGGCTGATCGGACATTGTGACGTCATCATATTGGCGTCTGAATTCAAAGAAAGTGAATTATAGGTATGACGTCATTTTTGAAAAAACGCATTTGAGCGTATCTCGCTTATCCTTGATCAATCGTCTTCCAACTTTCAGTATGTTATAGCTGAGACAATTCTCTTTCATATATTTGAATTCTTTTTAGATTTTGATGACGTCATCATGGTCAAAAAAATTGTTTTTTCTGACCCCCACATTTTTCTTTCCTCAAAACGTTGATGAGCCCATATCATCTTAACCATTTGTCATTTCTGAATCATATTAAGTGAGCATAATCTTCAGGTCAAGGTTGAATGTCAGATACCTTAATTTTCAGTTTGCGCGACTTTACGTGCGCGTATGCGTGCGTCAACATTTATATATGCATAAAACCAGGCATGTTTTTAATCAGTTATAGCTCCATAGGATGAAAGGTGACCCCCAATTTTTATTACATATTCTAAAAGCACATGAGTTGTAGATACGATTTTATAGATCATAATGGCTGATCGGACATTTTGACGTCATCATATTGCCATTTGAATTAAGAAAAAATTTAATTTTATTTATGACGTGATTACTTTTTATACTCGTTTGAACGTACTCGCTTATCTTGATTGATTGTCTCCCACCTGTGAGTATGTTATAGCTAAATCAATTCTCTTTCGGACGTGTCCATTTATTTTTATTTTGG